TAAAATAAAATTAATTTTTTAAAAATTATTACCAAAAAAAGAGATTGCTTATTTAATTTTTTTAAGATTTTTAAATCTAAAAAGAGAGAAGTTACTTATTTTAAAGAATTTATTTATTATTAAAACTTTATGATAATTAATTAATATTTTACTAAAAATTCATATCACAATAATATTACTATCCAAGCTAATAGAATTATAACTATAAGAAAAGTACAGTTAGTTAAAAAATATCTAGAAGATACTACTATCTTATGATATAATAAAAGAAATAAAAATGATATCATTTAATTAATTATTTAGAGTAATAATAATAACTAGCTATATAGCTTCTGTTATCAATTTGCTATATATTTTCAAATCAAAGAAAGAATTAACTAATAATAAGATAAAATTAAAATCTTGTAATAAACTGATATTATAGATGAATATATAGATAAATTTATCAATTTATTTTATAAAGTAGATTCTGATAATGAATATCCAAAAGAATATAAAATCAAAATCTATTGATAAGAATTTAAACTAGAAATTAGAAAATAAATATAGATTTCTGCTAATAGAACTTTTTTAAATATGATATAAATTATCAAAAATATAAAAAAAGCTAATATAAATATTTTAACTCATAAATATTATTAATTTCAGATCTGGAATAATTTAATATTGAATATTATTTTAATAGTATTTCAAAATTCTTAACCAGTAAATAAAAAATATTAAAACTAATAAAAGATTAAACTATAATAAAAATAATTTTGATTATTAATCTAATAATCAAAATTCTAAATCAATCTCTATTTATTATAATTATAATGAGCCAATCACATCTGTATAGACTATTTTCAGCTATAATCTTATAAAAATAATCAAAATAACTTTAAAAATAATCATTAAAGAATAAATAAAAATAATTAGTAATAAAATAATATATTATCAAATCAGTCTAATACTAGAAATAATTAAAATAAAAATAATAATTAAAATATATTATTAGTTTAAATATAAGCTTTTACTAATAATATTTAAATATTAACTTTCAAACTAAATAATATAAATTTATTACTTGATATATATGAATACTTAACTACTGATAGAAAGATTAGAAATTTCAAAATTACTTCTTATAGAATCTAATTTATAGATTAACTTCAAAAAGAAGTTATTAAAGATAATAAGAAACTAAATATTATTGAAGAAAAAGAAAAAGAAGACACTTTTGAAATTATTCTTGATCAGAATATAAATAATGCTAGATTATCTAAAACACTTGAGAAAGAATTTAATAAAAAGATTATTTATAAAAAAAAAAGTAAAATTATTTTATCTATACTTACTATCATAACTAAACTCTATAATATTTTTATAACAAATTAATAAGTGAGTTTTTACTTAAATTTATCTTAATAATATGAAATTAAGAGAGATTGAAATAATTAAAGAGTAAAAAAAAGAAAATTAAATTATATTTTTAATAATGATAAAGATTATTAAAAGTTATATTAATATTTACAAATATTATCTTATAAAAGAATAAAATAAATAATAAAAAAAGAAATAAATTAGAGAAATTATAAAGATTGATTAGTAAAGTTACTAGTAATTGATATAATTCAGAATTTAGGTTGATTAAATAATAAAGCTACTATTGATTAAAAAAGATTATTACTAAAGAAAAAGATAAAAACTAAAGTAAAATTCAAAATATCTAAATAAAAAAAATATGACTTATTTATAATAGAGATCTTTTATTCTCAATAAAATAAATAAAATAAAAAGTATACTTATTTATAGTAGAGATTTTCTATTCTCAAAATAATATCAAAAATCAAAAATCAATATAATATTATAATTCAAAATCAAAATTAACTTTGTATAATTAAAGAAATAAAATTAAGTAAAAGAAATCTTTTAAAAAGATTATTATTATTATAATAATAAGCTTTTTAATTATATTTTTCAAATAATTTGATCTAAAACTATTTATTTCAAGCTGAAATAGCAGATTTTTTTATAAATTTTTGAATATATAAATTATTATAGCATTATTATTTAATACTATCTAAATATATATATTATAATTAAAGTATTATAATTTAAATAATTAGAAATATATATATATTGAAATATATTAAAAAATATTAAAGAATATTAAAGAATATTGAAGAATATAAAAAAATATTGAAAGATATGAAAGAATATTAAAAGATATAGAAAGATATTAAAAGATGTAAAAGAATATTAAAAGATATGAAAAGATATTAAAAGATATAAAAGACTATTTAAGAATATAAAAAGATATTTGTGATTAATATTTCAAATATAACTATTTTATTAAAATTAAAAATGATCTTTTACTATATTATTCTATTATATATATAAATATCATATTACAAGTAATTCAAAAATCTAGATCTTAAATAAAAATAAGATATAGTGTTTAAAAATAGAAATATAATAATAAATATAGTAATAAAATAAATATATAATATAGAAATAGAAATATTTATAAGATAAATATAAAATTATAAAAAAATATAATTTTGTATAATCATGAAAAGATTATGAAATTAAGAAATTTTATATTACTATGATAATAATACTTATAATAATAATAATTATTATTAGTAATTTAATAAAAAAGTTATAATATATTGATTATATAATATATTAAAATCTATTTTATTATTATAAAAAAATATTAAATTAAAAAATTGATAAAAAGAAAAAAATATTAAATAAAATTTTATTTTTACTTGAAATATATAAATTAATACTTATAAAATTTAAATATTTAATATACTTAAAATTAATTTGAAATTTATTTAATTAATATAAAAATAAATATATATTATTTACATTAATTAGAATTAATATTAATTTTAAAATAAAGATTTAGCTAGTAAAATTATATTTAAATAGATTTATTATTTTTTATTTATATTTATAAAAATATTTTTTTATGATTTTATTTATAAAAACTTCTTAATTTTTATAAAAATACTTTTTTGTAATTTTTTTATCTTATTAAAATCTTTTTAATTTCTATTTTTTAGTTTAATACTCTCTTTAAATTTTTCTTTTATTTTAAAATATTCTAAAATATTATTAATACTTAATACTTAATCTATTTTTTAAAATAAAATTCTAATATTTATTTAGATATACTATTTAAGTATTATAAGATATATTTATAAATATTATATATAAGATTTTTATTATAATTCTACTTATTAAATAATTATTTATTAATTATAATCTCATATATAAACATTTAAAACTATAAATATTTGTAGTCTTAATATATAGCTTTTCATTTAAAATTTCTAAACTTATATAAGAAAGTATTCTGTAAATTTCTTGATTTTTTATTTCTGTTGGATTGATAAAAACAAAATTTTATAATGAAAAAACTGATGCATAATTCTATAAAAGAAAAATTATCTGTATTCATGTGATTGAAATATCTTACTTGAAGATGGGAATAAGCATTTATAATAAAATAATATTATGTAATATATGTCACTGTCCTAATAAAAATTCAACTAAAAGTCTTGTATTAGAATAATATGTATTACTATATAAAACAAAAATTGTGAAACTTAAATTGAAATATCATTCTTAGTAATGGATCTTCTGGATTTCTAGCACATTCATATCTGCATTAAAATGTGTTGATTTTTTTTAGAGTATGTTGCCCTATTTAAAAAAATTAACCTCCATTTCCGTGAGATGTATAAAGATTTCTAACATATTACTAAAAATTTCAATAAAAAATTACCGGTACTTTAAAATTCCTCCACAATCACAACTTTAATTTTTTTAATTAAATGCAAGTTTTAAGCAATTAATGATTATTAAGTTTTATTAAAAGTTATAAATAGATACAGCTAATAAATACAAAAAATCTATCTATTATTTAAGTTGTATTTTCTATAATCGTGTAATATATGTACAAGAAAAAAGAGGAGACTTAACAAAATTGTAATGCAAACAATGGAAATACGAGGGAAAAAATAAATAAAAATCGTAAAACAAGGAAAAATGAGAAACGTTTCATAACTTCAAAAAGAAGTATATTAATATAACGCACATTTGATCACAATAACTTGAAAAGAAAATATATATCGAAAAGTCCTATAAGCATTGAGAGTTTGAAACTGAAAAAGAAAAAAATAATATTTTGTGATTAAGTTTTTAAGTATAGGTGACAATCCGTCAACTGTTAATCCTTTGACTGAGTCTGGATAAAATGTGAAAAGATACATCGCACATTTGACAATAATATCTCGAAAAGAAAATATATGACAAAAAGTTCTGATCTGTTTTTGTAAGAATAGAGTTTGTAACTGAAATATAAGTATAGGTGACAATCCGTCAATTATTAATCCTTTGACTAAGTCCAGATAAAATGTGAAAAGATACATGTAAAAATATAAAACGAAAAGTTCTGTTTTGTTTTGTGAAGAATAGAGCATTTGAAACTGAAAAAGAAAAACTGTTATTTAGTGATTAAGTTTTTAAAGTATAAGTGACAAATCAGTCAACTGTTAATTCTGGATAAAATGTGGATAAAATGTGATAGTAATTGTTATTAATTTGAGTTAATTTTTTAAAATCAGTTTTTCATATATTTCATATAATTAAAAAAGTGATAATTATTGAAAATAAAATATAGCTTAATTTTGCAATAATATTTATATAGCAATTTTATTTTATTCTTGTCCATTAGTTTACTCTGTATTTGTATGAATGAATAGAGAAATTGGTGGCATGTTTTAATTTGAGTTGCTTATTATTATTATGAAGGTGATAAATTATTTGTTGTTTTGATTATAATGAAAAAAAGACTTATCTCAAACACTATATTTATAGATATTTTTTATCTTTCCAGCCAATTATCAATATTCTCGACAAATGTTTAATTCCAAGAGAAGCAATTGCGTCACTATGCATCGGACGAAGGAGTTCTTGATTAATTTGGCAAAAATGTATTAAAGATGAAGAAAAAGAAAAAAGTGAATGAGGATTATAAATTAGGAAATTTTATATAGAAACATTTAGCAATATTGCCATATTTGTCATGCACAGATGTGCTGAATGCGGTGTAAATTCTATTAGAATTTCTAATGGGATTTACGCCGTTTCTATTGCATTCAGCCCACATATGTACAGTGTGGGACACCAAAAGCCATCCAAGTACTGCGTCCTAACACCACCAAATTCCCAAATTGTAGATCTTATAATGTAACAACTGGTCTGACTAATCAGAACTCTTGAGATCTATAACGTAATCATTACATTAAATTTTCCAAAGTGTCATACAATATTACCATTACGGGTTGTCAAATTATAATGATAAAAAAAAAGAGAATGGTAATGCTAAATACTATTATAAATGAATATTAGAATAATAATTTCTAGCTATTTAAAACAACATCAATTTGATGCATTATATTTTCACTAATTGAATGATGACTTTTCTGCTGCTTAACAGTATACTCGGCTGCTCATCCTGTTAGTCTCTTTATACGCATCCATCCACCGGTAAGAAAGTCTTGCATATTTTCTGATCCTTTCTACTGGAACAGAATCAAGTGCAATTGGCACATTCATTTTCAGTCCTTTCTATGTATAGTCACAGTTTTTCCGTGTATATCTTTTAGTCGCGCTCCAAAATATTTCAATATAATTAAGTTCCGGATAAAACTTAGGATAAAATATCACCTAAAGATAAATATTGTACATGATTTAGCTATAAATAGCTTTATTTCATATTTATTATAAAATATACTGACTTTATGACTGCATTTTTCTATTTCTTGTTGACAGATTCGCAAGAAGATGATGTGCATAATAGTTGATTTTATCAAAATCTAGGTTGCATGTCTTGCAATCTGCTCGCATTTTGTCTTTCCAAAGTTCTCTTTCAATAAGAATAGTCTTCATTTCTTTTGGTTATAATTGTAAACAAGATATATAATAATCATTTGGATATATCGTTTGCTAAATCTTGCCATTCCATATTTATTTCTTATTTTTGGTTGTGCACCATCAGGATTTAGATTCATCTGCTTGCTACTAATGCATCGGGTGTCATGGCGATATGACTTATTGCATTATCGAACATCCAAATTCAAATACATCCGGAGTGTGTTCATTCAAAGATTTTTATGACATTTTTTTTAATCGACAAATATTCTCCATTAGGAACTCACTAACTTGAAGTTCTTGACCGAGTTCTTTTTTTCTTAATGGTTGCTCTCCTTTTGGTGTCCAGAATTCTCGAATACCATCATAAGAATGAAAGGTACATTTATCACGAGTAATTAGAATATATTTTTTCACCAAATAAAAAATATAGTTCTTCATATATTTTGTAATTAATTTCATTCCACTTGGGATTAATTTTTCATATTTTAATATTTTTTGTAAGAATTCCTGATGATTTATTACAATATCATCTCTTTCATGACCATCTATATATATAATCTTTTTGTATTATATATAATAAAAATCCATTTTTCTTAACCAACATCATATTGTATGCAAAGAAATCATTTGTGCTTGATCAATATGAAGTTCTGGAAGAATTTGTATTTTGAAGAATTACTTTACAAGCCATGGATTTACTTTGAATTTGGTTGCTCATAAATATTATACAATTCTTAAGTAAACATATTCATCATAAAGAAATAATTTTAATGAATATTTTTTCACGTTGAGATAAAGTTAAGAGACTTCTTTTCAAATATTTTTTTGCCTATGCTCGTATACATCTCGCTTGATACTCACCACCATTATGAATTTTTGCAATTATTTGACTTGCTTTCATTTTAGATGTGTCATGTTGAAGAAGTTGTAAATAATGAATAACATAGATATATTTTATTTTGTTGGACTTTAATATATTCATGATATCAACTACACTGCCCTACCAAAAGTGTCCGCCAGGTCGTGATCAGCGAATAAAATTTCGTCTAGTATTCCGTTTTTAAATTAGGATATCTCGACGCAGATCCAACCAAATTTCAATTGCTTTTTTTCCCCGAGTAGGTGAGAACTGTAAAATTCAAATTTATTAAACCACCATTTCAGCTTTGCCATATAGGTTTTACGAAAAATGACACAGCGTCGCGAGTTGACTATTTTCGAGCGTGGACTTCACAAGGGCCAACATGGTGCATCTGACATTTCTCGAATACTCAAAATACCTAGAGAGACTTGTCGAGATGTCATTAAAAGATATTGTGAAGAAGGCCTCACAGAACCAACTCCTCGATCAGGAAGACCACCTCTTTTAACTGAACATGAAGAGCGCACTCTTATACGTACAGTCAGAGGAGACAGACAGGAATCACTTCAACAGCTCACAGCAAAATTTAATGATCTCAGCCTAACCCAATTAGTGTTAATCAGTAGATTTCGGTAGTATAAATTTTATTTGATATTATGAATGCAGTTCTTGAGAAAATCTGTTGTGCTTTTCAATCAAAATCTAAGATTTGCAGATTATCCAAAATTGGCGTAGACTTTTGGTAGGGCAGTGTATCTGTTATATCGTGATTATTTGAATAATTTTTTGAAGTTGTTGTTTCCATTGTAATGATCCTTTTAAGTTTTCACTTTCATAGTCTGATTGTTGATTGTTCATTTCTTTATTATTTTGATTTATATTATTTATGTTATGAAAAGATTACGTTATTTGATGACAATCTTTGGCAGCTATTTTATTTTCTCTTAATTTGTATGATTAGAATTGCCAGATATCTTCAACATGAGCTTTGAGCAAGTTTTTCAAAAATAGTCTTCATGGCTTTCTCCTCTTCTAAATCATATGCATTATCAATTATGAATATGTCTTAATCACTATTTAATAGTCAAATACACTAATTTGAGAATTGAGACATTTCATATGTCCATGTACTTATATTTGCATGTAAGTGCAGCACATAAATAGTTTAATACATGCACAGTCATCACAAAAGTAATGCCCGATTTTTTTAAAAAATAAAATTTTGGATTTATTTTTTACCACTAGCTATTACATTATTAGCTATTCATATACTCTAATATCGCTTTGATTCTCAAGTCATTGAACTACAACCTCATCAAAAGCAAACGCATCGAATTTTTTTCAGAGTAACATTTTAGAATATTGTTCCCTAATGTCTTGCAGACATTTCTATGAAGTTTGAGTTGTGGAGAACACAATATTCATTGATTTCTCTATTTGATTCTATTTTCCTAAAGTAAATTTTTTTGAAACATCATGTTTTCTCAAATCAATGAACAAATTATATTATGAAAAAAGACAAATTACCTTAGAAAATCTTAGGTAAGTTTTTGCACGAATTTTTCATTACCAATGTCATGAAATGGCTCAGATATCTTTTTTAGTTTCCTGCATACATTCATTTTTTTCTTGATGGTTATGAGCTTATGGTCTCTCAGAAAATGGTAAATTTTTGTTTTTCCTGTTTCTTTTTGTACTTGGCAAGAGACCATTATATACTCTTACTGGGTTACATCACATTTTCTTGCAACTTGCTTGACACTCATAACTTCAATAAAAATCACTTTTTTATCCTTGTCAAAGATGGCCAACTAGAATGACAGGTATCACACCTAAAAATATTTCGCCTAATGTATATTTAAAAGTGAGAAAACGCGATGTATATATTACACATGTTGTTACACATGCAAATCGGGCGTTACTTTTTTGGCGACTGTAAATCACCCCGATTATCTGGCTTTCAAATAAAAGATCGCAAACCTTTTCGGGATAACTGCAGACACGTCAAATTTTTTTCCCAAAGATATTCGTCAAAACGAAACCAATAGATTGACAGTAATCCTTTTGGAAAAGTCTTTGCGAGATTTTTGGCACTAATATAAAGAGTATGAAAAAACATGGCTCGCTGAGATGCAGTTTATTCTAAAAGTATTTGCCCTATACGGCTTACATGAGCCAACTGCTTATTAAAAGAATTACGTGAGATAAATAATGAGTTTGTCTGATTTAGAAATAATTGCCAGCTAAGGTTCTCCCGTTTTTTGCTACGGATAATTTGCCTAATTTCTTAATTAAACTTCTCAACCAATATTGTTGCCAGATTTGTGTTGCGTGCTTATAAAATTAAAAGTGAAATAATAGCCAAAAGTTTATTACTGGCAATCCCAAATTTAGTACTGATCCACATATTAGTAACACTATTCCCCAAAAATATAGTATTGTTTTATTTTAATATCAGCATTAAAGCTAGTTCAAGTTAACTTCACGAAATCGATAAAAGTATGTTGATTACAAACACATCTATCATATAGTTATTTTTGAAACGAAGATATGATGGTGATGATAGCGATGATGATACGGTTTTATAGTAAATTTCCAACATTATATTTTCTTTTATATATAGTGTGCAGCAAAATCCGAAATTACGCAATTACTGGAAAACTACTGCCCCAAACCACATGATATATATTTGAATTATTATTTTTAAAAATTTAATAGGAAATGCGCTCATCATTATTGTCTATTTTGCGTTGACACTGCTACTTCATTAAATCTACTAAATGAATTAAGAGGTCAGTGTCAATCTTATTTCATTTCTCCACCATATATTATTCTAATTCCGCCAAATTTTTAGACTCCGTGACTTTTCATATTCATCTTAATACTTCACAAATTTTCAATCAGAACTGTTGAACAGTCAGAGCAGAACTTCAGGAACATTTTCTTTCAAGAATTTTCTAGCAAGATGACTTGTATACTTGGGATCATTGTCATCATCATCTACCGAATATTCTTTTGACTTCTGAAATACCTTGAGTAAGAATTTCAACATAGAATTCTGTATTTATTATTTTCTGAAAACAAATTATTTTTACACTTTTTTTAAAAAATTCATCTCATACCTTTATTTTAGTTTGGGTCTTTGGAATGGGATGAACTGGCTGCGAACCTTTATGCCAGCATCCCAGCATGTTCCAGAAGAGTTAGAAGACCATCTCATCTGTCTAATTCAATTATCATTAAGATAAACATGGATCTATTCAATGTATATTCTTTTGTATTTGGCGGTAAGCATAAGAGTCTTTAGAGGAATGCTTTTTCACTATTTAAATGTCTGCTAACTGACATATCCCTATGAAAAAAAACTACGAAATTTTTACCTAATATTTTCAGAATTTGACGTGACGGAATGACCCTGAATTAATTCCGTATTAAATACGGAATTTTTCCACGTTCCGTATCATAATTATTCGGAATTTTTTCACAATTTATGGAATAATTCCGGGTTAATATTTGAATTTTTTTCACAATTTATGGAGTGATTCCGGGTTGACATTCGGAATTTTTTTTCACAATTTATGAAATAACTTGGGTTAATATTTGGAATTTTTACTTAACATTTGGAATATTATATTGTAATTGAATTTTTATTTTCAGATTGATTAAATTTATACATTTCTGTTTTTTAGATGAGTATTACTACCATTAATGTTTTTTGCTTTTTCATATCATTCTCCTATTAGTGAACGTGAATGCAAAATTAGATCAATTATAATGTCAATCCATTTGTGCCTACTCAGATTATGTTTTTTGTGAAGATTTTTGATATTGTGCTTTTTTAAAGCTTGCAGGCAAGCTATTTTTTTATCAATTTCATTGATGGCAACTTGATAAAAAATCATTATTAATATAGTTATTTCTAAAACCATGTTAATAGTAATGAAATTATTTATATAGATAAAAATATTATAATTATCCTAAATGTCATCATTATTATCTTTTGTATTGTCTTTGACTAATAATTGTATTTTAATAACTTCATCTGGAAGATTTTATATCTTTTTTTCAAATTACTTGGCCTTTAATTTTTGCTTTTTCTTCCTAATAGCATGCAGATCTTTCTTCTTGACTATATAATATCTCTTGTAATGTACTATTAAAAAATAAGCTTAGAAAATAGCAAATATTTAAATAAAAAGTGAAAATAATATAATTATATTATTTTCACTTAGTCTAGATTATTTTCACTCAGATATTTGTCATAATAACATACTATCATCACATGTTATGATGATAAAAATGTAATATTATTATCAATATTATGATATATTTTTTATGACATATTTTTGATAACAAAAATATAATATTATTATCAGATTTTGATAGGTAGATGGCTTATATATCCTTTAGAAAGTCAAATTTGATATTGACATTATTTTAATTACTTATATAAATTTTTATATATTAGCTTAATATTTTTAATTAATTTCTAATAAATAGAAATATTCTAATTAAATTATGATATCCTAGTCTACTTCTTCTGTAATTTTTATTATAATTCAAATTTGATAATATTACTTATATACTAGTTTAATAATTAAAATATAATTTATATATTATTTAATATTATATATTAGCTTAATAATCCTAACTAATTTCTAATATAATAACTGAAGTAGATTATATTATCAGATTGACTTTATCATGAGTTTAATATTCTGATTGTGATTTTGTTATTATTTTTAGTTAGAGTATATATTATCAAGTTTATTATATACATATTTTTTGGATATACTATATATATGCTATCTGATTATGCTATTTATATAATATCTGATAATGTTATCAATTAATATTATTAAATATATATGCTAAGTATATTATATAAATACTATTGATAATATTATCATATATATATTATTGAACTATACTATTAAAAAATACTATTAAATATATTATATAAATATTATTAAAAAATATTATTCAGTTATGTTATCAAAAATACTATCAAAATATAATTGCTTGATATTTACTATTTTAGAATATCAAATTATTAGTAATTGTTAGCTTTACATAATTTATTTAATTATTATTCAATAATAAGGTATATAATACTAAATTATTATTCCTATTTGATATCTTACCAAAGTATCTAATAATAAATAATTATTAGCTTTATATAATTTATTCAAATATTATTCAAGAATAAGATATATAGTACTGAATTATTATTCTTATTTAGTAATTTATCAAAGTATAATTTTATTATATATATATATCTGTAATAATTTTATCTTGATATCTTACTTTTTTTTACTTTAAATAATATTTATTTAATGATCTATCAAAGTATAATTTTATATATTTTTTATCTGTAATAATTATTTTTTGATAACTTACTTTTTTACTTGAAATATTATTTATAATGAAAAATTTTTTTGTCTTATTAAAACATAATTTTATATATTATATGAATATTCTATTTTAGAATACTAGTATTTTATTCTTTTTTATTTGAAATAATACTTATACTAAAAAATTTTTGATAATCTATCAATATATAATTAGAAAATATAATATATTTGACTTATTAAAATATAATTTTTGTATATAATATAGTTTTATTTTGATATTCC